TTTTGTAATAAGGAACGCATTGAATGTCCTGGGTTTCTTTCGTACAGAAATAAAAACACACTTTTTCTAGTAATTATTTATTGCTAAAGTTTGTTACATTCTCTATTATTAAAGCTATTACTGCTATTACAGGTTATTTCAAATTTTGATGATTAAGACGTATGAAAATTTTAAATAAACAGAAGAAGGTAGGTTGAGTAGAAAGTAAAAAATGAAAATCATAGACGTCACCAAAGTTATACAGGGTTCTGAATAAATAATACAGATGTCATTGGTTAATGAGTAACGCGCAAGCGCAAAATTAGTTCTTAACTTCCGTCTACTAGGTCAGATGACGCTGCAAACACCATTTAATTTCTCCGATTAGAGTGTCACCCCCCTGGTCGTTGTTGACAAACAGCAACTAATGAGCGAAGCGAATTTCTCCCCTCTACCGTTTCAGTAAAAAAGAATCGGTTTCTCGATTCTGAGGGTAAAGAATCGATTTTCAAGGAAATCGAATACTGAAGAATCGATTCTAAAAATCGAACCGGAATCGAACATCCCTACCATCGACGAATGCCAGTGTACCTGGCGCGAAAATTTTGTAGAGAGTGTTATAAAAAAAATTGTAAAGTGTTAGGATAAAAAATTGCTAGAAATCGGACCAAAAATGTGACCACCTACTGTCCAGATTGCATTGACAAGCTACATTTATGTTTAAAATGTTCTAACACAGCACCGCTAAATGCAAGATGTTCTAATATTTTTTTTTATTGATGTTCTAATAAAAATGTTTAATTGTTCAATGGGGCACTTTTTATTTCAATGTATCTTCTAATTAGCGGTTATATTCAAAATGCACTAACTGTCAATTTTTACAATTGTAAGAAGTTCAGGCGCTACGGTCACCAATGACCACCGCAGCGTCACAGGAGAAACCGTGACCGGTCATATATGACCAACGTGGCAGTCAAAGTGTTAAGCAATGAATTGATTAATTAACCAACCAGTGAATAAATGAATGACTTAATTAATTAATTGGTTAATTATTCAATCAATCAGTGATTTATTGATTAATTATGTATTTAAGGAATGATTTTCAAATTAATTATTTGATCGATTTATAACTGTATTTATTCTTATTATTTTATTCATTTATTAAATAATTTCTCATATTAAAATGAAATTTTTCTGGAAGAACGTCAGACATAAGCGCGAGGCCCTACAGACTTTAGCCACGCTGCCTCGTTGGTCAACTTCAACTACTAATAACTCGATGAAAAATGTTCTGAGTAAAAATGGAAAAGGAACTTCTTGATGAAACCTTGAGAGGTTTACTGTCAATTATGGAACACCCTGCATATAAAACGTCAAAATATTTATAAAACTTTTCTCCACACGGGGTATACTGAATCATTTGAAACTTTAACATGTAATTATGAAGGCCATAAGAAAAAAACGTGATGCTAATGAAATTTCATTTTTCAAATCAAATATGTATTCTTGATTCTAACCCGGGATAAACAAAATTTTTTATTAAAAAAGAAATTTTATGAGCACCACAGTTTTTGTTAAGGGAATGTGAAAGTGGCACCTATGGGATCATGAAACTTTTCGCTGAACTGGGTGTACCAAATCGTTTCAAATTTTACAACATGAATATGGAATCTATAAAAGAGTTCGACACTCATGAAATTTCATTTCTTTTGGAAAATTTAAAAAATACCTATATACAAATTCTTGAAGAATTGAAATTTCATGAACTTTAGGACCTTCCTTATAATCTCCATATATGTGTTGTAAAGTTAGAATCGATTCGATAAACCCAATTCAGAAAAAAGCTTCATAAACAAAAGCTTTTCGACGCCACTTTCACATCACCTTAAGACCTAAATCACATGCCGAAGATTCCAACGATTTGGTGCATCCACTTTAAACAGAAATTTTATAAATATTTTGACATTTTATATATATAGAATGACCCCTTCATATCACCTTAAAACATTTATCAAATCTTGTAGAAATAACCCATAAATTAATATGAAGAATCATGTGAGAAACAGACATCTAACGACTTATATTTTCCATGATAATTTAACAACTTTGCATAGAAATATATCGCAAGTCAAATGACATTTTTAGTTTCTAGTTTTTTAAGGAACGGAACACGCACTAAATAGTATTCATTACGACATATTATGAATGCATTAAATTTTAAGTCAGCAGATAATGTTAAACTCATAACTTTATGTTATATTGTACAAAGAACAAACATTTATGACTGAAACAATGATTTCAACATTTCTTGCGCATGAACGCATAATAAAAGCCAAATAGAATTTAATTTCTTTTTTAAAGGAAAATGGTCAATTCTGTACTCGAATTTATTATAAAACAAATAAAATCACAGCTATCTTTTAATATTCATTAATCAATGCACTACATAATATTCATTACCACATATTATGAAAGCTTTAAATTTAAACTCAGTAAATAAAATTAAACCCATAAGTTTATATTATATCGGACAAAGAATAGACATTATGACTGAAACAATTTGATTCCAACATTTTTTATGTGTAGAAGCATAATAAAGGCCAAATAGTGTTCAATTTATTTTTAAGGGTGAAATAGCCAATTCTGTGCTTGCATTTATTATAAAGCAAATAAAATGTCTTATACATTGTGCAATGTAACTGTCAGATTTAATATAGCAAAGCTGTCTTTCAATAAACTCATTAATTAACAAAGTCATACGACTATTAGATATCATATTGATATTTTGTGGAAACAAATATTTAGTACAAACTTTTCTCAAATGAAACACGTGCTAGTAAAAAATGAGACGAACCGTACTGGTTTACAGGATTTAGAAGTACATTCTAATTTCATACAGGTAATCTTCGAATCAAATTCGAAAATCGACATCCACTTCTTGGTTTTTCCTCATAACAAAACACTTCCTTCCAGAAATTAACTACAAACTGAATCACACGTTTGCCGGCAAAACATTTAACGGTCAAAGCCAAGGACAAAGAACACAGAAGTATCCATAGAAGACCAGTGTTGAGATTTGATATCCAGTAAATAGTAACCAAGCGGTATGATAGATGGCAGCACGGGCGATCAAATTGTGGAACCTACCGGCCTCCGGCCGTGTTCGTAAGACTCCGGCCGGGCGCGTAACGCAACTAGAGTTCTAAATCCAGTAAGTTACGTCAGAAACGAAGAGAAATTCCCGGTAACTTATCGGTAATTTCTCCAAAGCCTTTTTTATCGAGAAATTATGAGAATTTGAATTTTTCAACAGAGCGAACGAGGGGTTTCGATTAGCTATAGAGAAACATCGTAGAGAGGAATTTCCGTTGTACGTTCTCCGTAGCCAATCAAAACCTCCCATTCGCTTCGTCGCAGAATGAAATATCAGTTCGTTTGAAACAAATCACGTGGAATTTTCCGTGAAGTTGTACATACGTGAATATTTTTAGCTGGAGGTAAATACGACCCTATAATCATTATTTTCTAATAGTAATTATTACTCTTTAGCTTGAACTTTGAAGTTGATTGAAAAAAAAAAGTTATTAAACGAAGAAACCTAAAGTATAAATAACAAAATTAACATTCTCTTAAATTCTCAATGTCCCCAGTAACTTCCGGTATGTTTCACAGTTACCTTCTCCAATTTAATGTTACCGAGAATTTTCGAACTCTACTCGCCCCTACGCCATCTTTTACTCGGCGCGTACTTCTGTACCTAAAATAAATAGTTTTTTGTGTATTAACCACTCTGTGCGTCTACCAGTTTATTTCCCCTCGCTCGGTGCCCCTTGTAGGCCTATTCTCGAACTCGTAACGGCAACTGTCGTTATCGTTACGTTACCGATGGTCATCGCTTGTTCTACCGATAGCTTTACGAATGGCGTATTCTGTAAGTGCTCCTAGTGACACCCTATCGATACAAAACGAGCTAACGACATCGTTACGCTATCGACAATGCCCTATTCGGCATAACTGTTTTCAACGAATGAAATTTCACGTTTTTTTAAGATGAATTTCTGACCACTGAAAGGTACCCATTAACCACTTGCGCTATAAAGACGTGCCACGCACGTCGAGATGCTTTTGTTTCAAAACTGCCAGCGACATGTATACCACGTCGATAGGCATTTGTCGCAGAAACAAAATCGACGTGTCCGGCACGTCGGCTAACAGTTGGATCGTTCATTATTTGTGCTACAGTTCCAGACTGCACGACATCGCGTAGCGTCATCGATATCTTGAAAATATTTCAGAATCGATAGGGTATGTTGTACAGATGTTATACCGCATGTTATATTGTAGAGCGCGGCACGGCAACAAAAAGTTAAATCGTAGCGCAAGTGGTTAAAAATAGTGGTTCACAGCAGCGAAGTTCAAAGTTTTTCAATAGCTCTATATTAAAAAGCAGTTTCAACACTACTCAATGTAATCGTTTCTTATATTAGTATTTGAAAGTCTTTTCTTTTAATTGTACTTAAATAGTAAAATAATTTCATTACAGTTTATAGGTTTAACAGGTTAGCTATAGTAGCATTTTAACAATAGAATAGCGTCTAGAGAACAAAGAACAATAGAGAAGCTTTTTTTCTATATCACAGAATATTGGTATTAATTTCTGTAGTAATTTTTTAAGATTAACTATTTAGTTTTTATTTCCAGCAGTACTTTAATACTAGAATAGTTTTTGACAGTAGTATTCTTCTATTTATTATTAATTGAATTCGTGTTAAACTTAACATTACTGCTGCTTCAGATAAATTTCTGACCGTTTTTATTAGTGTTCTTAAAAAAAAGAAAAGAAGAAATGGAATTGTAAGTAATTATTGCATGATTATATATAATATGTATTAACTTATAAATACTAATGTGAATGCAACTGTACTATTTATTTAAAATATGTATACATATGTAATTCATTTGTAGGTCAGTGAAGAAAAGTCGGCAAGGAAGAGCCAATCTTCGACAAATCAATACCATGATAGACTACATGGAAAAACATCCCCATGTAGCAAGAAATAAATTTACGACGCTACATGGCAAGGATAATATTAAATGGAGTTGGAACACGATGGCCGATCATTTAAACTCGTTATCAAATGACACCAAAGTGAAGGACGTTAAGTCTTGGAAAACGGTGCGTGTAAATTCAGTCCACAAATGTCCACTTACAGAGTAAAAAGAATGACTATGCATGTTGGAACATAATTGATTTTATTTATAGACATGGAGAGATTATAAAACAGAAGTATCCGAGAAAGTGCGCAAATTAAGAAGCAATAGAGCACAGACGGGAAACAAAGCCATCGACATTATTCTTAATGATTTGGATAAACGTGTCTTAGGAATCATAAGCCACCAATATGCTTCAGGCGTAGACCCATGCCCGAATGCCTTTCCGGAAGAACATCTATGATATGGGCTAAACGAATTAGGAGAAATTGGACCACTAATGTGGAAAAAGGAAATAATAAGCGGTTTGAATTCCTTAATAAAGCATTTATTACGAATAGAATAAAACAATAACGTTATAACAGATAAGGTTTAGAAGATATTAGTGTTATTAAGAAAAAAATCGTGTCAAGTTAATTAAATTACAAGTATACAAGCTTAATTAGGGAAACAAGATGTAGGCGTACCTGGATTTAATATAATCCACCAATAGAACAGACTGATCTCTTTGAATCGACACTTGACTTTGAGAATGGAATTGGATGATGCTGCGGACGTATTCGCATGGACTCGTCTGAACTGAACTGGAACTGAAACTGAACTGAATTGAATTCGCGCTCTTGAGACATGAGCCCTTTTAAAGGGGTTGATCTTTCCTTTCAGTGACCTAATCGATGGAGTGAGATTTCGAGACGTCTAAACATCGATATCTTTAGTTTGATAATCGATCGGTTTGTCATGCTGTCTAAATTGATATCAGTACGCCGTCTTCCGATTTCCCTTTACAGTTTATAAGATCTTAGCTTAAATACGCGAGACGCTCGTAATTCAGCTCCAACGAGTGATAATAAAACTCATTAGTACTTATATCTGGAGATAATCTATCGGGTGGGTTACGCGGGACGTAACAACATCACAAACAAAATTTGATCGAGACAACAGGAACATTAGAATTAAATAGACCAAAGTCCTTCATTAACAGGATATATGTTCAGAAGTCGGTAGAAGTCCAAACAGAAGTCGAGACCAGTAAGTTTAAATTTTACTTTTCTCGTTCAATATTTTATTTCATTAACCCATGATCTTCTATATTACATTCTGCGACGGGATTCACCCTCCCGACCGTCAAATCGTCCTACGCCCGGTATTAATTTCTGACCAGGGGCCGAGCCCGGTTTTCGGCCCTTCCGACAGTCGCGATTCATTTAGGGCGCCAGGTGCGCATGCGCACCTCGGGCTGTCGGGACCCGGTAGCCTGGAGCACGACGACCCCGCCTGCTGGTTCCGGCCGCCCGGGCGTAGCCGACCGGCTACTCAGCCCCGCGAGGACCTTACGCCCTTCGCGGCACGGCAGAGGTGGGGAGTTTGCCGCGGTACCCGTTGAGTGCGAGGGTATCCCTTCAGGCCCTGCGGTTCACAGCGAGAAACACAAAAAAGGTAAAAGAAAGATAGCCGAAATTGTTGCGATAATGGATCCCGACGGGATCGAATTTTATTAGCAGACCATTTCACCAGAATCGCGCCCGATAACACTTACAAGGAAGGTACCTGAGGTGTCCCCCTCCGATTTTGTTCATTTTTAAATATGTTATAGAGGACTAAAATCTAAGCGATCCGTGTTTTTTTTTAATCGGCGGATAAACACTTTTAGGGGGTGAAATCAGGCTTTAAAGTTGGCCGGGCAAGGGGGTGAGTTGACTGTTTCATATAGAAGCACTCGGCCGATTTTCATGAAACAACCGTCAAAATGTAGGGAATGAATAATTATGAAACATGCATTTGGAATTTTTCGAAAAAATTCATTTTTAAGGGGTGAGCCACCCCTTTGAATACTTCTTTTACCCCTTACGCGAGCAGTAATTGCTCTATCCAAATGAAACTTTCTTAATTTATAGACCAGAACAATATAAAAAAAGCATATTTTGGTTTTTTTTCGAAAAACGAATTCTAAGGGTTGTAACAACCCTTTAATAAAATGATGTGTAATCTCGTTTTAAAACCAGCTTTGTACGACTTTCTTGGACTTAAAGGACTTTAATGATTAAAATTAATAAAAGAATACGATCAGGTACCATCCGATACATTCGAAGGTTAAATTACCTCTTGGGTTCAAAGGAATGTAACGCCGCGCGAGCGAGCAGGATGCAGTGCCAAGTTTTCAACCACTATATGTAAGTAATATTTCATTCTCTCATCTTTAAGAACTACAGTTGCAATGTAAAATACAAACACGGTTACGTTCAGTTTTTATAATAATACAATCTAAATATAAAACAATGTAATCCGTCTACACGATTCGTCCAGACATGTGCTTCACTTTCGATTTTTCCTTCACAGTAATATTTGATAACAATCGTTCTTTGATATCAAGTAGACTGATAATGGAAATCGAACGTAACGAATGAAACTGAACAAACCGAAATATTACTTACATATAGTGTTTGAAAACTTGGCACTGCATACTGCTCGCTTGCGCGGCGTTACCACTCGGCTACGCACTAGTTGCGAGGACAGCTAACTCCACTGTCTTATATTCTACGAATAACATTCCTTTGAATCCAAGGGGTAATTTACCCTTCGAATATATCGGATGGTACCTGATCGTATTCTTTTATTCATTTTAATCATTAAAGTCCTTTAAGTCCAAGAACGTCGTACAAAGCTGGTTTTAAAACGAGATTATACATCATTTTATTAAAGGGTTGTTACAACCCTTAGAATTCGTTTTTCGAAAAAAAACCAAAATATGCTTTTTTTTGTATTGTTCTGGTCTATGAATTAACCAAATTTCATTTGGATAGAGTAATTACTGCTCGCGTAAGGGGTAAAAGAAGTATTAAAAGGGGTGGCTCACCCCCTTAAAAATGAATTTTTTCGAAAAATTCCATATGTATGTTTCATAATTCTTCATTCCCTACATTTTGACAGTTATTTCATGAAAATCGGTCGAGTGCTTCTATATGAAACAGTCAACTCACCCCCTTGCCCGGCAAACTTTGAAGCCTGATTTCACCCCCTAAAAGTGTTTATCCGCCGATAAAAAAAACACGGGTCCCTTAGATTTTAGTCCTCTATAACATATTTAAAATTGAACAAAATCGGAGGGGGACACCTCAGGTACCTTCCTTGTTAGTGACCGTTACAAAGGAACAGGGGGCGCCCGTCGAACGGGACAGACACTTGGCGGGACGCAATAAAATACAATTAAAAAGAATCGCAGTGGAAAGGGTATCTCCCTGGGCAGGGGGGACCTACGGGCACAACGCCCGGCCAGGAAGACCTTTTGAGCCCCCTTGGTGCCTCGATAAGGGCCCGCCGCCCGGATGCTGCGCAATCGGTATGGCATCGGCCCGCGGTCGGCACCCTATCCTCGCCCACCGCGACTTGCGCGCACGCAGCCACTGACTCACAATCGGTACTTTAACGGAATTACAATCGGTACCTTACGATACGGGGCTCGATAAAATAGGCGGGCGAGGATTTCTTCCTGGCTCTAGCACGGAATCTACCACCGGGACGCGACCTACGATGAACTCCTTCGGCCCACGCGGTCCGGAAGGTGCCGCCCGGCGCGAAAATGACGGTTTACACCCGGCCCGCCACGCGGTTGCCGGTCGGGATTTCGGTTACAAATCGGCACTTCATGCGGCGCGGTCACTGGCGGTCAAAAATTGGCTCGCGGCGGAATCAGCGGAATTCATACAAGACGCGACTTAAGAGGCCCACTGGGCACGTTCGGGCTCACCGGTCGTCGGTCGGTACGGGACGGGAACTCTCTTAGCGGCGGTGCAGCGGGTTATCGGTGGTAGACCCCCTTCGGGAAGGGACGGCTCCTCGTTACGGCTCGCGTCGGGACGGGACGGCCTTTCCTCTCGGGACGGAATCAAACGCTGGCTCCGCTGTCTCCCGGAGGTTCTCCCTCTTGGCAGGTCCCCTTGGCAATGGCGGTGTCGTCGGCAGGACTTCCGCTCCCGCCTCGATGTCCTCCTAGCGGGCCCCGCTAAACCTAGGACCGGGAGTCGACCTGCCCTCTGGCCCCGCCGAAGTGGGTCACTAGGCCGACTAATTAGGTCGGCCACCGACCGATGGCAGCAGGTCCTCCAAACCGCATGACGCTTCACGCGTTTCCTCGGGACCTTTTAAACGTCGGCGCTCCTCAGCTAATGCGCAGCGCCTTCGTAACTAGTTCCTTAACGCCACTTTTTCTAATTATTTTCTTACCTCGACACTTAACCTAACGATTGCCAAGGGGATCCCTCCGCACTCCGGCTCGCATACACCCCTTGTGACGTGTGGGGAAATTCACGACGTCACAATTCATATAGAAAGATAACTGTGGACCAAGGAACTTCTATTTCACCAAAGAGAATATTTGATTCTATCCACAAGAAAATGCGGAAACATTACACAAATATTATTGAGGGTTTGAGAAAGAAAAATAAGTTATTGTTGCAGCGTCTACATCGATCCGAGAAGAGAAATATTTCTGCCGACGAAATTACGGAAACGTTAAAAAATATCTAACGGATGATCAACTTCAGGACCTTATGGAATCGAGTAAATTAAATGAATATTTAATAAAACGTCAACTTAGAAAATTATCACATGCTAGCCAAGCGAAGCAATATAGTCCAGAGTTAAGACAATTTGCAATAACATTGCATTTCTATTCTACAGTTGCTTATAACTATGTGCGGCATAGATTAAATGCATGTCTTTCTCACCCTAAAACTATATTAAAATGGTATCGTGCAGTTAATGGGGAACCTGGTATATGTGCAGAAGCTTTAGATGCAATTAAGAGAAAAGCCAGAGATACAGATTATCCCTTGGTTGCTGCTCTAATGTTTGACAGAATTTACATTAAGCAAAATCTTCATATAAGTGCAAATAAAATGAAAGGAATTGTTGATTTTTGTAAATATACCGAAAGCAATAATAATAATACACCTGCAGTTGCAAAAGAAGCGATGGTTTTCATGGTTAATTGCATAAACTAGGCCTGGAAAATTCCAATTGCTTATTTTGTAATACGCAGTCTGAAAAGTGAGCAGCTAATACATTTAATTAATGAATGCTTAATAGCATTAAATGAATCGAATATTAAAATAGTATCCCTTACTTTTGACGGAACGGCTACAAATCGTGCTGCTGCAAAGTCTCATGTTCTTAATAGTATGGAAATGAGTGATCCAGTATCTAAGAAACAGAAAAAAAATGATTTGGAGAATAACTTTAAATGGT